GAGGTGAGAGGGGATTAGCCCTCATAGTCTGTCTGTGTTGGGAATGTAAGACAGACCAGGGAGGCACATCATGCAAACTGCTCAGTGAGCCAAACAATGAATTGGCATTTGGTGGTCACTCACAGTGTCCGCGGATACAACTGAAAATCGGATCAGTGTTCAAATGCTAGTGACCAAAGAAAGAGCAAACAGTAACCGCCTCTCCTGGAGGCACAAATATATATGCTACATGTAAGCTGAGATATTTGTTTGTTTACTTATGTGAACAATATTCCTTCTTATTTCCTAGGTAGATTTTTTTTCTCTTTTTGCTTTGTTATTATTTTTACTTGCTTATGGGGAAGAAGGTTGGTGGTATGCAGGATTATTGAAATATAATCATTGATTTTTGAGGATATAAATAAAACCATCCCAAACAATTTCCTTTAAAGCAAGACTTTTGGGATGGACGGGAATAACTCATATAGAATTGGCAATTTACATTTTACCTCATAACAAATAGTATAGTTTAGGTAGAATGTCAACCACAAACAATGTGAAATTCATTGCTGAGATCTTTGAAATAAATGCAGTGACCTGCGTGGAATTTCAAGTAATTTGAAATAAATGTTTTTGCCTGAACTGAGGAAATGCCTTTTCTATTTTCTCCATTTTGAAATATATCCTATCTCCCCTACTTTTTCCCACAGACAATTCAAATTCCATCATTTAGCTCTCAGTTCAAACATCAAACAATTCTAGAATAACCTTGGCACTCAGAGTTTAGTCTGTTAAAATTTTAGCAAGTTAACTCTTCTATAAAGCTTGCCCTGAAGTTTTGAAAATCAAAAGTGGGCATCTTTATAGGTAAAGTATTAAGTTAATTACTATTATGTAAAATTCATGGTTAATGACTGCTTTGACTGGAATGTATGTAACCATAATTCAAATGTTTTTTTAAATAGATACTTCCTTCAACATGAAAATATGTATTTTAGAAAACTTTTGGCTATTTTTAATAAAATAATTAAGTTCTTTTTTGTTTCTATACAATACAAATTCAGAATTTTTTGAGTGTAGGATGTAAATTACTACCAGAAAATTTCAGGTATTTTGTATATCTATCTTTTAAATTAATTCTTAATGTTTTTCAAAGTAGATATATATTATGATAAATTTCAGCATCTCATACAAAAATATGCCATAAGTTTTTTAATTTTCTCTCAGTTTACCCCATGACCAGGATCAAAATGGGATCTGAACTAAAGTTTAACATGAGTTCATATTACAAACCATGAGATTTATTTTGCTATTTTTATTTATTTTTCAGTTAGACTCTCTGCTTATTCATATTTTATTATTTTAAAAATAATTTATTAAGAAAACAATTTATTGTTGTTCAGTTACAATTGTCCCCATTTTTCCCGATTACTCTCCCCTGCCCTACCCACTCCCCACCTGCCACATTCAACCCCCCACGCTCAGTTGTCTTTGTCTAGGGGTCCCTGATACATGTTCCTTGACCTAATCCCTTCCCTTCAATCCTCTGTTTTCCCCTCCCCCCTCCTTCCCTCTTGCCACTGTCACTTCTTTATTTCCTTGTCTCTTGTTTTATTTTGTTCCCTTATTTGTTTTGTTGAGTAGGTTCCACTCATAGGTGAGATCATATGGTATTTGTCTTCCACTGCCTGGCTTATTTCACTTAGCATAATGCTCTCCAGTTCCATTCCTGCTGTTGCAAAGGGTAGGAGTTCCTTCTTTCTTTCTGCCGAGTAGTATTCCATTGTATATGGAATGGAATACTACTCCATTCCATACAATTGTGGTATATATTAGTATATACCACAGTTTTTTTGCCACTCAAATACTGATGGACTCTTAGGCTGTTTCCAGCACTTGGCTATTATAAATAATGCTGCTATGAACACTGGTTCACATAGGTTCTTTTGAATTAGTGTTTCAGGATTCTTAGGGTATAATCCTAGCCGTGGAATTGCCAGATCAAAAGGCTGTGTCATTTTTAGGTTTTTGAGGAAATTCCACACTGTTTTGCACAGTGGCTGTACCAGTCTGCATTCCCACCAATAATGTACTAGGGTTCCCTTTTTTGTACAACCTTGCCAGTACTTGTTGTTTGTTGATTTGTTTATGATGGTCATTCTGACTGCTGTGAAGTGATATCTCATTGTGGTTTTAATTTGCATCTCTCTGATGCTGAGCATCCTTTCATATGTCTCTAGGCCCTCTGTATGTCCTCCTTGGAGAAGTGTCTGTTCATGTCTTTTGCCCATTTTTTAATCCAGTTGTTTGTCTTCCTGGAGTGGACTTGTGTGAGTACTTTGTAATTTTGGAGATCATACCCTTGTCAGAAGTATCATTGGCAAATACATTTTCCCATATGGTTGGTTGCCTTTTCCTTTTGCTGATGTTTTCTTTGGCATTGCAGAAGTTTTGTGTTGTTGTTAGTATTTGGTGTAGTCCCATTAGTTTATTCTTTTCTTTATATCCCTTGCTCTAGGGGACATTTTGGTGAATATATTGCTGTGTGCAATATCTGAAATTGTTCTGCCTATGTTCTTCTCCAGGACTTTTAAGTTGGAGAAGTCTTATATTTAAGTTTTTTATCCTTCTTGAGTTTATTTTTGTGCTTGGTGTAAATTGGTGGTCCAATTTTATTTATTTATTTTATTGCATGTAGCTGTCCAGATCTTCCAACCTCATGTATTGAAGATGCTAATGTTACTTCATTTTATGCTCCTGCTCCCTTTGTCAAATAATAATTGACCATAGAAAGATGGGTCTTTTTCTGGGCTCTGTATTCTGTTCCACTGGTCTGTGTGTCTGTTCTTATGCCAGTAGCAGACTGTTTTGATTACAGTAGCCTTGTAATACAGTTTGACATCAGGTATTATAATCCCTCCTACTTTGTTCTTGCTGAGACTATTCAGGCTCATTTATGGTCCTATAGAGATTTTTGAAATATTTTCTTCTGTATTTGTGAAATATGTCCTTCTTAATTTACATTTTTATTTTTTTCTATTAGTTCCATTGCATAAACAACAATAGATTTAGCAGGTTTTCTCTTTCTCCTATCTATTCTCTCATTAATCTATATTTCATCAATTTATACTTCTTAGAGTTTACTTTGTATTTCTTAACTTGAGTGTATTTCTATTCTTTTACCAGTAAGTTATAGATTACCAGTGCAATAGTTCATTTCCCTCTACTAGTTGCCTAGTTTTATATTGTCATATAACATTTCCTTTTTTATGTTCTGTCCTCACATTTGTTTAATCCTATTTTAATAATTAAATGCATTCATTAGTCACCACATATCTTTTTGTCATGATTTCCCATTCTTTTCTTGGCTGACTTAAGTTAACCCTCAGGTAGATTTTCAAGAAGAGGTCATGGGAAAATTGTTAGCTGAAACCTTGTTTGATCAATACCAGTAACTTTTGTACAGTTTGGCTTACTGAAACATAATATTTATAATTATGTTTTCCTTCTCTTTCTTTGAGTACTACAGGTGTTTCTACAGTATTCTCTGTCATTATGGTTGTATTAGTTAAACTTGAAGCCAAGCTGATGTTTTTTTCCTTGGTTTTGTCTTCACATTTTTTGCTTGGAACCACAATTTTTTCTTCATCTGTAAGATTCAATAACTCTAATAAGCTATAAATACAATTAATGACACTGGGTTAATTCTCCCAAGTCTCTCAGAGGTAATATTGCATATATTTTCAGTATGTTCATTCAAATCAGTATTTATTTAATCAAAATTGTCCTGAATTACAACTTTTTCAAAAGTTTTTCTTTTGCTTTTCTTCTTTGAGAGTTCACTTATTATAGATCTTTTTTGTCTGATTATTATGTTTATAACTTTCTCCCTAAACTATTTTAAATCTTTCCCTTTTTGTTTATTTTTTTCCTTACAGCTATCCTCTTTGATGTCTTCTAGGTTTCCTGACTTCTTTGCATTCTTCCCAAATTCTTCTCTTTTTGTGTGTATTTTATTTTCATTTTCTAATTTTTTCCTGATTTTTGTAAACTCATTTTTAACTCTCCTATTGTCAAGCTATATGAGTCTTATTCCTACAATTCTACTTAGTAATTTTCTGTCTTATAGAGTATTATTTTATAGTTTCTACTGTTTTCTTTATTCACTTGCCTTATAGTCTTTTATTTTTTTATTAATTTTATTTCGTTATTTTTCAAGTACATTTTTTTGTCTATTTCTCCCATCCCAGCCTCCCCTGCCCCTTGCTCCCCACCTCCCTCCCATTTCCACCCCCCTTAGTTCTCGTCCCTGTGTCCTTCCTATTCGTTCCTCCAAATCCCTCCCCCTTTTTTCCCTTAACTTCCCTTTCTTCTCCCCTCTGGTCAGCTTTATAGTCTTTTAAAAGTAAAAATTTATTGAGGTGAAATTTGATTATCAGAAATATTGTATTACTCTTTCTTCAACTTTGTGTTTTTAATCTATTTTGTAATTTTTCATCTAATATGCATGCACACACATACATATATGTGATTTTCATGTATATCTTATATTTAGGTCTGGCCAATTAACATTTTTATTAAAATATGAAGGCAATTAATTTCTTTAGAAAGTTATTCAAAATTTTTCAACTATTACATAAGGTTTTTTTATGCCAGTTCTCTTTAAAGTTTTTATTGTAAAAATATTGTTTTAATTGTTTTTCTTTTTGAGCTTTATTTTTGTTTTAAAATAGAAAAAATCTCACCATTTTTTGTTTTTATTTTATTTTAAATAAAAAAGGTCACTATCTAATAGCTCTTTGCAAAAACAATATAACACTTAATAGGAATAAATTGATTTTATCCTTATTCTTGATAAGGTTATAAGCATTCATTGTTTTAAGATATCATATAGAATTTATATACTTAAGTATTTGATGGTTCATATCGCAAGTGGTTTCACTATGCAGGCCCTGGATTAATGTGCTAACTGTGCTTATTTTTGTAGACCAAAATATCTAATGATGTTATTTATATTTTAGGTTAGTGGGATGGTTTGGTCATGAACTCAGCACTAGATTTAAAATGGATAACAGTAAGTGTACTCCATTTTACTTTGTAATTTTATTTTAACTTTTTCTTAATTTTCATCTGTCTTTGTGTGATATGTAATATACATGCCACATGGAGAGGGCACTGAGAGGGCACTTCTAAAATGCCACTGAGAATTTTTAAAGTAAGAAATGACATTTCCAGTGTAAGACTAGGTGTTTGTAGCTTTTAACATGATTTTGAGTCTATCCCTTTGTAGGGAGATCAAAGGAAATAAAATCTAACATGAAGGGCTCAGATCTCATCAATGTGGAGTATCCAAAGCATGAGGCAGTGAGGACAAGAAGCAGTTTTTGGCTTGAAGTCAGACCCAGAGAGACTTGGGTATCATTCCCACTTTACTGCTTAATACTTGTGTGATGCTACACAAGCTACATCATCCTGTTTTTTTCTTCTTATTCTTACATATTTCATATGAATAACATCTCTTTCAAGATTTGGTTGGGGGGTAAGGACAATTTCAAACAGCAAACAGCAATGTTATTAAAGAAACATTCACTTTTATCTCCTCTTCACCCAATTTGTCCTTCTTTTGTAACTTTTGCCACGTACTAAACAGTAACAGTTAAACCCCAGTAGGTAGAAATGAACGTACACCAGGCACAGTGGACTCTCAAGTTTCTTTTCCTCTGTAACTGTTTTCAATCATGTGGGATACAAAAAGCTTCACAAATGTTGTGAGAGTTCAACTTAAACAAACTTGGTGGTTCCAATTGCTTTCAACCCTGAGATAGTATTTTAACCCAATTCACATTTGCAGAAATCAAGATGCAAAGGATCAAGATGGGCTCTTCTAGTCAAATCAGGAGGTGTCTTTTTTATCTTGGCTGCTGAAATAATTAGCTATATTGTTATTCCAGTTACTTAAATTCTTTGTGCTGGGTTTCTTATCTGTAAATGAGGGAACTGGACCAAGTATTTCTGTGAAGGGCTGGATAGGAAATATTTTAAGCTTTTGGGGCCAAACTGTCGCTGTGGTAAATGCTCAGCTCTGCCCTTGTAGTGCTAAAGTCATCATAGACATACATAAATGAATGAGTGTGGCTCTATTCCAATAAAACTTTATTTACAGAAACAAATGGAGGGTCACATTTGGACCACAGGGCACACTTTGCCTAATCTGGATTAGATGAATCTCTAAAGATACAGAATATTCTAAATTTCTTTCAGGCAGTTTTAGTTTTAATTCAGACTCTAGTCAGCAATCTTAACTCTATTGGATTTAACTTTCTACTATTCACTCTCATTCTAATTAGTATACTATCTGGCATTTACTTTTTTACTATATCACACTTAGGCAGATTGTTTTTTTAGGCCTCTTTTATTTTTTTCCCCCTAAGAGAAGCCATTTGACCTAGAGTTGAAAGTTACCTTCAAAGGTCATTTTATTCATATGTCTGTCTTTGGGCAACATTACAGTTACAAGCCCTTTAAATCCTGATACTTTTCTGTCATTGACATGGTTACATACAGAAAAGCAAAGCATGGAATCGGACAAGGAATATGGCTTTGGGAAATAGCAGAGGTCGGGGTCCAGAGAAGCTTCTAAAAGAGGCCATTTTTATCTTCTGTCTAAGGACTCTAGTTTTTGGCAGGTTGACAAAAAGGTGAGAGCAGGGGAGACAATCATTGCCAGCGAATGGGGAAACGTGCCAATTTTTAGATTCATGGGTTTTCCCTTAAATATCACAGAAGTCTTGCGGATAAAAACATTTTAATCTTATTATTTGTCTCTCTACTACTTTACTGTTATTGAAGAAAATCAAATAATGAACATTTTTAAAGATAAATTCTATAAACATGACATGATATTAATTTTTCAGAGTTGCAGTTAATCCCCGGGGCCCATGGATTTAGAATTTCAAACCCTCCGATATTGTTGATCTGTCCCTTACAGGCGAGTTTAGAGGTAGGTGATCTTTGCTCCCATCTTCCCGCATCTTTACGTTTTTGGTACCTGACTGGGGCATGTTGTAGTACTTTCACTGATAATCGGTGAGATTTTAAGTGTGCACTGTGCACAAACGCTGTACACAAACGCTGTGCTAAGGGTGGTTTCTTCCTGTAGGACAGTGACTGTGTGCGAATCGTTACCTTTTGTGTAGATACCCAGTCCCTAGCTGAATGCTGGGCACTTAGTAAATGTTAAACAGAACAAATGAAGGGAGACATATTTTTAATCTCACTTCGAATTTGTGTGAACTTGAATGGGTTATTTAATCTTCTACTGGTCTCTCTATGTACAAAATAAACATTCAGTAGTTAATTCTCAATTAATCCAATCATTCAATATTTATTCATTAAGAAAGCGCCATGTGACAGACGATGCTGTGATTACTGGGGAGTCTGCTTCTTCTAGTTCTGTGAACCAACGAGCTGAGAAAGTGCCGTGTGACGAAGCTATCGGAGGACCAGCTTTAAGGAGGGAAAATTAAAAAAAAAATGTATGAAAAGTCAGAGTAAAACCAAGATTGGGTAATATTGTTTTATGAGGTCCTGTAACTTTTTAAAATTGGGGTTTCTGTGCCATTATATCCATATATAATTTCTGCTTTTACTGGCTGAATATTTTCTTTAAATTCATTTATATTTATTTACTTAAATAAAGTTACTCTTACCATAAATAATAATTTCCAAGGAATTAATTTATTTTCCTAGATATGCATAAATAATCTGCCTATTTCTATATATCTAGATGTTCATATGTATTTACCTATATATTCCATATGTATCTTTACCTATATATTCCAGCTAATTTTTGAATATTAATTGATTTCAGAGTGAGACTAAATTAATTTAAGTAAATGTATTTTAATAGTTATATAATATATCATAATATTAATAGGTATATTAAACTATATATTTTTATACACATACTTCAGTAAAATATAAGTGACCATATATATTTTCAGTAGATATTTCAAATATATAGCTATTCAAATAAAATTTTTATTTAAAAAATGTAAAACCTCCTAAAATAATCTAGTTTATAATATTTTAGGAAACCATTTGTGGAGTGACTGGATAAAGACTTTCAAAACTTCTGAACCTAAAATGCTAGGAATCTGTCAACATTTATATATAGCAGTTTCTCATTTTGCCCACTGGGCAGCAGTGCCAAGTTCTTCTGTTTTTAAACAACTACCACTAGGTTTTGATAATCCACTCATTTCATTCCATCCCAGTTTAAAAAAAGCCCAGTACTCAGTTTGACCACTAGATGGAACTTGTGCTGTTCAAACATTTTAGCTTTGTTTTAAATGTTAAAATAGAACGAGGAACAAGATTTTATTCGGTGGTATATTTTGGGGGAGAATATGCTTATCAAATTAAATAATGATATTTGAATTGTTTTTTATAATATACATTTATAAAAATATGTTAATCATTTTAAAACAAAGATTTGCTTACTTTGCCAGTTTATATCAGGGAGAATGAATTACATTATTTGAAACAGACACAAAGGCATATTAGGAAAAACCTAGTACCTAAAGTTATTTCCTCTTATTTTTTATCTTTGTAAGTACTCATCCATATCAAGACTTTTTCTTTTAGACATTCCAGTTGGCTATTTCCTCTGCAGTGGGCAGGCTCTTCCAGGAAGGATTCTGCCCCTCTGCAATGGGAAGAGTCAGATTCTTATTTCTCCTACCACTAGTTTCCTATCAGAGTAGTTTAGTCACCTAGACAAGGTTTGTATTATCAGCTAAAATGGGAAGACTGATTTCTCTTTTTCTTTAATTTTAACTTAAACCTAGCAAAAGGACCTAAGAGCCACCAGAAGAGGGAGGTACATTTCCCTGGAGCTTCTTATCACCTAAGTCTCTCTCTTTCTTTTAAAAAGACTTTATTTATTTATTTTTAGAGAGAGGGGAAGGGAAGGAGAAACACAGGGAGAGAAACATCAATGTGTCAGTGCCTCTCATGCACCCCCTACTGAGGACCTGGCCTGCAACGCAGGCATGTGTCCTGACTGGGAATCAAATTGGTGACCCCTTAGTTCTTAGGCTGACACTCAATCCACTGAGTCACGCCAGCTAGGGCTCACTAAGTATTTCTCTGAAGCCTCATAGAAATACTTACTGAAGTCATTCATTCACTGTTGAGGCTATATTCTAAGCAAAATTATATTTAAGTAATCAAACCTTATGTTGAAGAAAACTTTTTTAAAGAAAATTTTTCTCCACATCATAAATTTCAAAATTTTGAAGTTACAAACTCATACATTCCATTGCTTCCCATTCTATTCCTAGTGGTAAACTATTCTGCTTTCTAGATGATTTTGAGTTTGCCATGTCAGTATGCATGAGTAAATTACCTGTGCTGATACTTACTTTGTTTAAAAGTTATTGCATGTAAAACATATATAATTGAAGCTTGAGTAAATTAGATAAATAAATATGTGAATAAAACTACTTTTCTTTGTTGTCCCCACTTCTCTTTCAAAATATATTGCACACTGCCAACTGTCAACTGCAGGAGAGATTCTATGCATAAGAATCAGTGTTCATGACCATGATCTCAAATTTACAGTACGATTTTCAAACAAAGATTAAAATGGCTTTGTTTACATACATTTGATCGATACTTTCAAAGTAACACCTTACAATCAATATCAAACTGTCTTTTTCTTTATATTCTTGCCTCTAAATCATTTATGCAATACCTTTAAAAGAATTGTAGGTCAAGGAAAAGAGCCCAAGAGTAGGAGCCAGTTGGCAAATACTCACCCCTCATGTGGACACTAAGTGTGGCTTATACAAATGACAACTACTTGTTCATAGTTTTGCCTCAGATTTTAAAGTGAAGATGTTTAGACCACAGCACTTCAGAGGTCTCCTCGATCTTTTAATTACTAACTTGAAATGAAAGGATATCTATATTATATTTTGAAAGATCATATTTGTATGTAGAAATACACTTGTATAAATGACTTTTGGAGCCTTCCAGGACATAAATTTAAAATGAAATAAATAGCTTCAAAATAAAAATGGACCATTCAAATAAAATACATGGGAAGTCAGAAGAAATTATGTATTGCCACAGAAAGTTATTAGGGAGCCATTATTAGGACTTTAATAGAAAAAAATATAACAATTAAAATCATCAGGCTATGCTTACTTTTTTTCTGTTTAAATTTATCTAACTTTTCTAGTTTTGCATTCATTTACTCAAGAAAAAAAGAAAGAGAGAGAGAAACCCAAGTAGAGGAAACTCTGCCCAGAATTTTGTTATAAACTGGGTATTTTCAAGTTACTTTTTATTTAAAAAAATATTATTCCAGCACTGAAAGCACAGAAATAGCAAGAAGCAAAGACCAAAATAGGATCTTTTTTCCTCTTTTATTATCTGTTAACTCCTCCTATTAGCCCACCTTGATAGTTTTATGTGATGTTTCAGAAGAGACTTTTGTACTCTGTGAGAAGACCTTTAGGGCATCTAAGAATGCAGCTACCCTTGTAGTTATAAAAGGGAAAATAGTCTTAGATTTAAGTTATTTTGTTGTTAACAAAGAATAGCAGCAAGTTAAACCTGAAATATTTGTTATAAAAATGGTTTCCAGTTACCAAGATAAATCCTCAAGAGGAAAACTTCTTATAAAAAGTACGAATTTAAATAATATTCCCCAAAGTCTTGCTAACCTATGAGCACAAATGAACATTAAAAGTACGACTTCACACATTGCCCCTATCTGCATCTTCTGTGGCCCACATCAGAACCAAAAAAATTCTCCAGAATTATTTATTAAAATTTCTTCAAATAATTGTTAGTCTCCCAAGTGAAGCTTCAAAAATATCCTCTAAGTTTTTGAACTTCCCAACCTGCTAGTCAAAACACTGGTGGGCCACGTCTTGCCTGATGATGCCCCTGTACTCTACGAGAGTGCTGTTTCTTGAACCAGGCTCACTTGTTCTAAAACTTGGAGGATTTCCTTGAGTCCTCATTTTGCCAGATGTGTTACATTCTGTCTTAAACAAGGTCATGAAGAGCTGCTTCCTACCAAACTCCATGTAACTGGGGTTACCGGAATCATTAAGAAGTACAAGTGGGGAGTTCTGGCCAACATGGAGGCCTAAATGTTTCATTTCCTCATACAACCAAAAGAAGGACAACAACCAATTTAAAAACCAAAAACAAGCAAAACTACCCCCAAATCAAACTGCTTAGAACTCTGACAACCAAGAAGATAAGCATTCATCCAGACTGGTTGGAGGGATGGAGACAGGCAGACAGGTGGACAGGACACCTGGGAAGGCAGCGGGCTGCGTGGACAAGGCAAGGGCTGGTAGAGTGGAAGCACCCACATTCACACATAGAGAAACCAGGAGGAGCATCAGGGAGTAAGACAGACCATGAAACCCAGGGTTTCAGTACAGGAAACTAAAGACTCAAAACCTCTGGCTGTAAAAACCTATGCAGGTGCAGCTGCAGGATGAACTCCCAGTCTCACAGGAGAGTATGTTGGAGAAGCCCACAGGGTCCTAGAATGTATACAAACCCACCCACCCACGAATCAGCATCTGAAAGGGCATATCTGCTTGTGGGAAGTGAGGAAAGTGACAGAAAGTGGGGTGAGAGTTGAGCAAGAGTCATTGTTCCCCCTCTGACCCAACCCCTACAGAGAGCACCACAAGAGCAAAGAGGATTGCCTTACCCTGGTGAATAACTAAGGCTCTGCCCCTTACAATGTCACAGGTGCAAGACAAAGAAATATGGCCCAAATGAACAGATCAAAATTCCAGGTAAAGAACTAAGAGATGAGAATATAGAAAATCTGTCTAATGCAGAGTTCAAAACACTGGTAATCAAGATGCTCACAGAAATGATTGAGCTTGGTTGAAAACTGAAGGAAGAAATGAAGGCAGAAATAAAAGCTACACAAAGTGAAATAAAGGAAAATATATAGGGAACCAACAGTGAAGGGAAGGAAACTGGGACTCAAATCAATGATTTGGGACAAAAGGAAGAAATAAACATTCAAGCAGAACAGAATAAAGAAACAAGAATTCAAAAAAAATGAAGAGAGGGTTAGGAGCCTTTCCAACAACTTTAAGCACTACGATATGCTAATCATAGAGGTGCGAGGAGGAGGAGGAGGAGGAGAAGAAGAAGAGCAGCAAGGAATTGAAAACTTATTTAAACAAATAATGAAAGAAAACATCCCCAATCTGGTGAAGAAAATAGACTTCTAGGAGGTCCAGGAAGCTCAGAGAGTCCCAAAGATTTTAGATCCAAGAAGAAACATCCCAAGGCATATATATCATCATTAAGTTGCCCAAGATTAAAGATAAGGAGAGAATCTTAAAATCAGCAAGAGAAAAGGAGACAGTTACCTACAATGGAGTTTCCATAAGACTATTAGCTGATTTCTCAAAAGAAAACTTGCAGGCAAGAAGGGGCTGGAAAGAAATATTCAAAGTCATGAAAGACAAGGACCTCTATCCAAGATTACTCTACCCAGCCAAGCTATTATTTAGAATGCAAGTACAGATAAAGTGCTTCCCAGATAAGGTCAAGTTAAAGGAGTTCATTATTACGAAGCCTTTATTATATAAAATATTAAAGGAACTTACCTAAGAAAAAGAAGACAAAAAAATCTGAACAGTAAAATGACAACAAACTCACTACTATCAACAACTGAACCCAAAAACAAACTAAGCAAACACCTAGAACAGGAACAGAATCACAGAAATAGAGATCACATGGCGGGTTATCAGTGGGGAGTGGGAGTGAGGAATTGGGTAAAAAGGTACAGTGAATAGAAGCATAAATGGTAGTACAAAATAGACAGGGGGAGGGTAAGAATAATATAGGAAATGAAGAAGCCAAAGAACGTACATGTATGACCCATGGACATGAACAAAGTGGGGAGAAGGATGCTGGAGGGTAGAGGAGTGCTGGGTGGAGGTAAATAAAGGTGAGAAAAATGGGATAGTGTAATCGATAAAATATACTTTAAAATCATTAAAAATGAAGTACAAGTGGGCATCCCTACCCACTCCCCCAGAAAGAAAGCAGAATTATCTTCTGGTAGGTAGGCCCGGTGCAGTACAGGCTTCCTCCACTAGGTGAGTGTCCAGGAACTCATCTGTATCAGTGCACCAGCAGCCATTGTGAGAGGCTGCATTCAGCTTCAGTGACTTTTTTTGAAGATTCAGTGCATTTGTCTATTTCATGGTGGGCAATTTATTAATGCACTTGCCCACACCGAGCTGAGTGTTCAGCAGTTTTTGACCAAAAACAGCATGACCCCTGTGCCCCGCCCTCCCTATTCATCTAATCTTACCCCCAGAGACTTTATTTTTGATTCACCGGATGAAATGAAGTCCTCAAAAGAGATTGTTTTGCCCAGGTGAAAGACGTGAAACAAAAAATAGCAGAAGCAATAAAAAGCATCAAAATCAAGTACACAAATTTTGAGCAGTGGAAAAGTGTCTTGATAGGAATATTGCATCAGTGGAGAGTATTTTGGAATTGACAAGTTTAAACATATAAGGATAAATACACCATTTTTAGTAAAAACATATAAGGATAAATACACCATTTTTAGTAAAAAAATTTTTTTAGTAAAAAAATTTTGGGGGTACCCCTCATATACTGTAATAAAAGTTATGCAAACATGGTCTCAAAACATCTATGCTCACCTTCTTTATAGTTTCTTTTCTTTCTTACATTTTCACAAACTAATTTTTACCATAGATCTTAGGCACTTCAACATGCCATTTTTTTCTTTCCTTGTTAAGAAGAAAACATAGAAATGAAGATCTCATGGAGGGTTAGCAACAGGGGAGTGGGAGGAAGAGAAGGAGGGAGAAGGTACAGAAAGTAAGTAGCATAGACGGTAGGTAGAAAATAAATAGGGGGAGGGCAAGAATAGTATGGGAAATACAGAATCTAAAGAACTTGAGACACATGGTCATAAACTAAAGGGGGGAATGGTGGGGGTGGAGGGTGCAGGGTGGAGGGGAATGAAGGGGGGAATAGAACAACTGTAATGGCATAATCAATAAAATCAAATAAAGTTTTTTTTTAAAAAAGAAGAGAACTTTTACCTTTTCACTTAAAAAACAAACTTTATAACTCCTTGGCATTTCTGAGTTGCCAGAATCACTACTCTTGCACTTTGGGGTCATTATTAAGTAAAACAAAGACTTGCTTGACTGGAAGCACCGTGATATCGTGACCGTCAGTCTGGTGTGGGAATGGTGCTAAGGAACAGGATGCACAGCATGGAAACACTGAGCAAAGAGATGCTCCCATTCTGGGCCAGAGGAGAAGTGCAACAGGTTTTCATCATGCTGCTTAGAATGGTGCACAATTTAAAACTTATGAATGGTCTATTTCTGGAATTTTTATGTAATATTTTTGGACCTTTGATGGCAGGGAAAACACCATGAATATGAGGGCATTACTGTGTCCTTCTCACTGGGCTCTCAGATGCCTGCTGAAACAGAGACCATCTTTACTTGTAGCTGACATTTCTCCCGGCTGTGGACATCATCTATGAGGTCTGGTTGGCAGGAGAGACGGAAGCCATTCTATCCTCCCTTTGGGAGATGAGTGGTTCAGGCCAGAGACATAGTAAAACAGGTAGTTAGAAGTGGTCTTACTTTAGATGTATTTTAAAAATAGAGCTGCCAGGTTTTTCAGATGGACTTGTGTGAAATTGTTTGGGAAATAAAAAAGTCAAGGGTGACACCCAAGTGATGGACCTGAGCAACTGGTAGGGAGAGAATTGTCAAAATCTGAGGAGGTGAGGGCTGTAGGAGGAAGTGACTTTGGGAGGAATATCAGGAATCCAGTTTTGAATATGTTTATATTGAAATGCCTGTCATATATGTATCCAACTAGAATGCAAGTAGCAGTGGGATATGTGATTCTGGGTGAGAAAGTCCAGGTTGGTAAAAATTGTCTTGTTTTTCAAATGATTGTTTGTAGAGAAAATAAAGGTTAGAAAAAAACTGCAACTCCCTTCCTCTCCTTCAGCCAAATCTATAGCCTCCATACAATAAAAGCAAAGAAAATATAGGCCTAAATTGTTTGGGATTTATTAGAATGCCTGCCCACACATATGTGCATATATGAGTGTACAGACATAAGTGTTTTTACAGGCTTTATAAAGTCTAGCTATCACCAAATGACCCTGTGTTGGCTCTGTGGCGTGACATGATAGACTAAAGGGACAGTAAGTAGCACGCCAGTGCATCACACTCTGTCTGAAGTTCATTCAGCTCTTCGATGTAGGATGTATTTTTAAACTCTACTTGACCTGAAGGAATAAGCTAGAAAAGCGTGTCTGTTCTGACCTCTAATGATCTAACACCAGTTATTGTGTGCCCTTGTCACTCATCTTAATGTAAGACACCTCAGGCAGGGAATTGCAGTGCTTTCAGACCAGTGCTAGAGTTTAACGGTGAAAAAGAATGATGAACGAAGAAAAACAGAAAAAAAAAGGAGAAAAAGAAAGTCTGCTGCTTCAGAACGAATAAATGTATCATCTAACATTTTTGCCTTCTTGTCTGATAAAACTTAGCTTTACTATTTACCTGCTTGTTTTCTTAATGTTGAACTGGTGAGATTTAGGAATTGGCAAAACAGTTCTGAATAACATTTGTAACACCAGCTTCCACATAATGCGTGCACATGTACTTCTTATTATATCGTTTTGTGGACCAAACTTTCTATCACAATAGAAAAAGAGTCTCCTTTGTTATGATTGTAACAAATGGTTTTGGAGAAAGTGTTGAATTTTATGATACTTAAATTTATTTATTAGGGGATGCTTATACTAATTATACTAAGCTAATTTAAAATAACTCTGAAGAAACATTATATCAGCTTTATTTTTAGTAGGAAAAGACTTAAAAGACCACATGTTTTTACAAAAGGCTGTTTAAAATGGGATGAGTTTTGGAGATATTAAATGTGGTCATTTCTTTGTTTTATGTGTGATTTACAGTCTAGTTTTACTTCTTTGTAAATCAAAGGATTAACATTGTTTATCTGACTGTTTCTCGTTCTACAGATCTTTAACAAAGCAACCATGAAAGCATTGAGAAGAAAGTCTATTTTGCTTACTGGTTATCTGGAATACATGATCAAGCATTATTATGGAAAAGATAAAGCAGAAACCAAGAAACCTTTTGTGAACATAATTACACCATCCAACATCAAGGATCGTGGCTGCCAGCTGACATTATCATTTTCTGTTCCAATAACACATGTACTTCAAGAACTAGAAAAAAGAGGAGTGGTTGTAAGTATATCTTTTGCTTCTACTACTAGGGTTTTCTATGCATTGCACATTAGGGGTAAAATCTGGATTATTTGGTTCATTCATTGTTGCTTGTTATTTAACATCAATCAGACAGTTAGTAAGGATAAATTAAGTGCCAACTAAATATTCAGCACTTGCTAATTGAAAGACACGGAGATCTGTCATCTCAGATAAAAGAGAAGAAACTACAAATTTTACATATAGAGAACAGCTTTATGTAATTCATTCACTTTCTTTATAGCTTGAGCAGCAAATATTGTTTCATCATAATTAGGATATGTTTTAAGCCATTTTTACTAGTAAAATTCCTAATATGTATTTATTGAATAAACAGAATTAAAGAACAATTCAATATGATGGAAGGAAAAAGAAGTCAGTCTTATTTTGTTGTTTGATTAAACTAACTTATTTTGAACATTGTCACTTGTCATAAAATATACATGGACATATCTCAGGAATGTTAACATTGTATAAAATAATTTCTTTAACCTTTGGACCTGAAGGGTCTTCTCAGTCTTTTGAAAGAAGCTAGTAAGTATTAACAGAATAATTTCAGGAAAAAATGGTGATAACAAATCTATTTCCAGTGAGAATGTAATCTAGGGACCGTTCCACCCCTGTGGTCCTCTGAAACTTTTAGAAGAGGTCACCACAGATTCTGGAAGCACAAGTCGGGATATCAGCATTTCAAACCCATCCCTGCTGTGTGCAAGCTATATGCTCTTGGGCAAGTTAGTTAACATCTGTTTTTTGGTTGCAAATGTGAGGTTGTTCAGAAAGTATCCAGCCACACAATATGAAAAACAGAGACATTTACTGAAGATAAGTAGATACAAGTAACATTTTATATAGGATAATGATGCCTCAGTCCCCTTCAAATTTGGTATTTTGGGACCTCACACACTTCTTGCAGTCACCATCAGCTGTCCTGTTGTATTTTCCTGAATCTCATTGACAGTCTAAAATCTCTTCCCTTTCACAAGACGTGATGCATGAGTGGGCACATTGTTGTGATAAAGCTGCTGATCACCAGCTGCCCATGATCTTCTGAATCATCCAAAGTTTCCACAGAGGAATGTTCATGCTTAACACAAACTCTGATGAGGATTTGTTGTTGTGCTCGCTCAATCATATTGATTGTAACTGCCACACAATGCATACGCTCACTCAGTGGTGTCTACCACCCCCATTGACTAGTACAGTGAAGTAGTCATTGTTCACACATGCTCATTCCAGTTCATTCTCCTTAGTTGCCAGGTTACATCGATGTGGTACAAACTGTTCTTGTTACATTAACAATGGTTTGGCTTTTTCTGGACACACCTTGTAAACTTTCTTCAAGAAGTTGTTATGGGAATTAAATGGATCTACACACATAAACCATTTACTATGCTCTCTGGCCTGTAGTGGATATTTCTTAAGATAGTTGTGATGATCTTCAGGCTCAGCCAACTTCTCTTGGCCCATTTCATAATATTTCAGCAGTCTCAGTATAAAACAAAATTAATTTTACACTGTAATAAATAATAAAAACATTTATTTGAGCAAAAGGAGATACAGCCTGGGAATACAGGTTCAGGTACTAATCTAAATTGTGTTCACCATTTCCCTGACAAAGGGGAGACTGACTTTTATAGTGGAAGTTTCCACCTAGGTTTCTAATTATGTCCATTTTATGTAAATAAAGCATTCAAATTGTGCAGTTCTGATTGGTCAGTGCAGATTAAAATAAGGATGCAAATTGTGCTATTCTAAATGGATTGGCCAGGTCTCATTCTGTTCATAGAAAGATAGGGGTCCCCCCCAGTTGTTGACTCAGATAGCATAAACAAGCTGTGGGGAGCCAAGAGTTTAATCTGAAGTGTTTCTCGGTGTACCAAGTACTTTGCGTGAAGAGCCCCAGTCCGCTAATGGTCACCAGATTCTTATCTATAAACCAGGCCCTTTTTTCATCCTAGGAAGTCCATCTCAGCAGATAAATCTTTTTCAATACTCATATCAAATGAATTTTCTTCTCAGGGCCTATGCCAAAAATTCAGTCAGTTCATTTCCTGCAAGATTAAGAATTAGAGATTTCAATGCAAGGATAATTGTCTAAACCTTTCCAGAATAGTGTCTAGTACTCATTCATTTAAGTTCATTTAAAAGATTCCAGGCTCCCCAGGGTCTCCCCACAGACAAATCATTTATATGCTCTATTAAATGCATAAAGAAAATGACTGCTGTCCCCTGACTTGTATAGCTTAGTGGATTGAATGTGGGCCTGCAAACCAAAGGGTAGTAGGTTCAATGCCCAGTCATGGCACATGCCTGGATTGCAGGCTAGGTCCCCAGTGGGAGCCATCTGAGAGGCAACCACACGTTGATGTTTCCAACCCTCTCTTTTTCCCTCCTGTCCCCTCTCTAAAAGTAAATAAATATAAATTTTAAAAAATGATTGCTGAGTGGACTTCAGAAAGTACTTTTGCATATTTTATAGTAACCCACTAATATTTTAGTTATAATTAAAAGGAGGGTTTCAAGCAACAAGAAACACTATATTTTAACTAAAGTGAAATCCATATGACTATTACATATAAGTTTGTCTTTAATTCAGATATTCATTATGAGAATAATGCTAACTGTTGTGACTTTACTTTCCCCCCACAGTGTGACAGGCGGGAACCAAATGGCATCCGAGTGGCCCCAGTTCCTCTCTACAATTCTTTCCATGACGTTTATAGATTTATCAATCTGCTCAATTCTGTACTTGATGCTGCAGAAGAAAAAAATAGCAGTGTTTAGAGCAAATTAAGCAAATGATATCAAAAGCTTCTGTGATTGTTTCATTATTTTTATTCATTTTAGTTATTAGAAGTATTGACCGGTTCCCTGCAGGCCAGTTCCCAGTAGGGGACGCATGAAAGGCAACCATACATTGATGTTTCTTTCCCTCTCTCCTTCCCTTCCCCTCTAAAGATAAATAAATAAAATCTTAAAAAAAAGAAGTATTGAAAACTTACTACACATAGCTAGCAATAAATTGTATACTTCACAAAAAAATCTGGTACAACTTTTATGAGTCTATGTCCCTGAGAAATTTATGGCTAATTTCTTGGTGTTTTGTGAATAAAGGTCTTCAGTGGGCCAAATATTATGCTCACAATCTTGTTTAGCTTGTATATTTCATGGTCAGTGAAATATTTTTATTGATTTAATTTATAACTTGACTATTTGATCATATATATGAATTTTGTGTCAATTTTATAAATATTACTTTAGTTTTAATTTCCCAAAGACTTTTTTATAAGAACCACAGTTGAACAGTCTGATATATGTATGATTTTGCAATATTCTATCTACCTCTAATTTAAAGAACAGAAAATACTCTTTCAAAGGCAGTGGCCTTCAAATGTTTTTGGCCACAGTCCATACAAAAAAATATATCTAATAACATAAATCAGTATTGGTGTGTGTATATGCCTTATTTTATTTAATTTAGTATACTTTTTAATAATATTTTAACATCTGTGAAAGAAAAGTCAATTTTTAATCAACTGTTTCTTACAATTGCTATTGGCCATTCTTCCCCATTACCATTCTTGATATTAGCATAATTATCATAATGAATAGATAGCATCTTGGTTCCAATTAAAAATGATATATATATAACAAAAACAAAAGTTTCATAATTATTTGCCTGTGATCTGATATTTATTACTCTATTTTATCTTATTGCTATAATTATTGTTTGAAACATAGTAAATTAATTTTTCCACCCACTCTTGGGTTCTGAATCATTTTTCAAGGATGTCTCTTATATAAAGTTATCATATTTTCTTTCTGATAAATGGGAACTCTCCCTGATAAAAGAAAGACATTTGATGTTACTCCATTGCTAAAATAGTAAAATAAGTCACCCCATGATAAGTGGATTGAGGATTAGAATTAGGAAGTGATTGCTCCTTCACTCAACCTCTATCCCAGATCTCGGGACCTTTCTTATCCACTATGAAAACTTCAGTTGCTCTTAGCCCTGCTGGATTTCCATAGCTTTAGGCTGTCGATGCCATTACCATTATTCATGGATTGACAAAATGTTCCATATTTGTATATATTTCCAACAGGAAAGAGTGACTGTGACATGAATACTTAACTACTGAAATGAATTTGAATGAAATCACTTGGACAACGACTTTGGGTGTTAGAGTTAAATAAAAAGATGCAGACCACCATCACCAACACCAGCAGCTACAGACATTTGTCGAGAATGTACTGTGTACCATGTATTATGCTGCTCTATTTATGTTATCTTATTTAATGGAGTAGTTGCATAATTGCTTTAGTAAAACTTCCCACTCCAACTTCTAGCAAAATTTATCTATATATAGAGAAGTTCTCAAAACCTTAAAGCTCAACCATGTACGACCCCATGTAGAAGAAATCGTTTTTGAACCTCAGCAGGGTAAACAAAAGAGATATGGTTTTATCTCTCATGGAATATGTAGTAAGTGGGAAAAACAGAGAGCAAACATATAGACACCCAGTTAAATGTATAATTAAAAACTGTAACCACTATAAAAGACAAACATGACACTATAAAAATACCTCAATGGTATTAATTAGGCAATTGAATAGGGAAGGCATATGAGGGTACTTATGAGCTTAAGTTCTAAAATATTTCGTACTAATCAAGTTAAAATTACATCCGCTTGTATATACAAACCATTTATGCATGATCGGCACTATTTCCTTATCACCCAGGTTAAGAAACAGTGAGAAATTCCCTCCACCGTAGCTTGTATCCCCCTCCACCCCCCAATCCAGAAATAATTACCAAATTTCACTTTCTATTAATCATTTCCTTACTTCTTTAAAGTTTTGCACCCATGCGTGTACTCACAAGAATATATCAGTGAATTTCGCCTGTGTGTGGGCTTTGCATAGAGGTATACTCTATTTATTCTTCTGATTGTTTTGCTCAACATATTTTTTGAGATCCACCCATCCATTGCATATTCTGTTTTCATCTATTTTCATTGTTGCTCAGTATTCCATATGTAATTGAAGTTGTTACTTCATTCTACAATTAATGAATGTTTTGAGTTGTTCCTTTAAAAAATATTGCAACAATGCTGTTGTTAACATTCTTAGGATATATGCTCAAAAGTTTGTCCAGGACATAAAACTGAAAATTCTGGGGACAGGACACACACGTGCTCAACCTCACTACGTGCTATGAAACTGTTTTCCAAAGTGGGTGCACCAGCTTCTGTTCCAAACATAGGAGGTGACCGTTCCCTTGCTCCTGATCTTTGCCAATGGTAGCTACCTGTTGCTTTTGTCATGTACGCAGATGAAAATAGCCAAGGTAATTATTAAAGTAATAGAGAATAAATGCATAATTTCCACACAAGTAGCAGGAAATAAACAGAAGGAGACACACTAGAAGCCCACAGACACACCCATGCACGCGGAACACCCATACATTGCAATTTATGCTTCAGAAACCATTGTTAATCTGTAGATTGAGCCAAGACTAGAATTTAACACGGATTTGACACTTGCTCAGCTCTTTTACCTACCATATTCTCATTATTTCCTTCCTGCATAATTTTCTTTGTGGTGAGCACTCCTTCAATAAAATACTCCTTCAAAAAAACCCGTATTTTTCGGACCATAAGATACACCCAGGTTTTAGAAGAGGAAAATAAAAAACAAAATTTTGAAGCAAAAAAAGTGATAAAATATTTAATAACATAAATAGCATAATATTTCATTAATGTAAATGTAAACAGAACTCAATAGCAGCATTAGCAACCATTATTTGAGAAAGAGCAAGAAATCTGAAATCTATTTGAAAAAATAATGAAAGTAAACTTCCCTTATTTGGTGAAGGAAATAGAGATGAAAGTTCAAGAAGCACAGAGATTCCCAATAAAGTTAGGTTCAATGAGGACACCAGAATACATCATAATTAAAATACCAAGGGCTAAAGATAAAGAGAGACTCTTATAAGCAGCAAGAGAAAAGAAGACAGTTACTTACAAAGGAGTTCCCATTGAACTGTCAGCTGATTTCTCAAAAGAAACTTTGCAGACAAGAAGTATTCTAAGTGATTAAAAGCAAGGACCTACAACCAAGATTACTCTACCCAGCAAAGCTATCATTTAGAATGGAATGGCAGGTAAAGTGCTTCCCAGACAAGGTAAAGCTAAAGGAATTCATCATCACTAAACCATTATTAAATGAAAAGTTAAAGGAACTTATTTAAGAAAAAGGAAAAGATCAAAACTATGAACATTAAAATGACAACAAACTCACAACTATCAACAACTGAATCTAAAAAACAAAAATAAAAAACAAACAAACTAGGCAAACAACCAGAACAGGAACATTTGGAGGGTTATCAGCTGGGAGGGGAAAAGGAGAGAAGAGGGGAATTTGCGCAGGGGTCAAGAAGCATAATTGGTAGGAACAAAGTAGACAGGGGGGTGTTAAAAATAATATAGGAAAGATAAAAGCTGAAGAACTTAAATGCATGACCCATGGACATGAATGAACTAACGGGGGGATTGCTGGAGTGAAGAGGGGTGTTGGATGGATGAGGGCAAAGGAAAAATTGGGACAACTGTAACAGCATAATCAATAAAATAAACTTAAAAGTTCATGTGGAGCCCTGGCTGGTGGATTGAGTGCTGGCCTGCACGCCAAAGGGTCACTGATTTGATTCCCAGTCAGGACACATGCCTGGGTTGTGGGTCAACCCCAGGGTGGGGCATGTGAGAGACAAACAAACATTGATATTTCTCTCTCCTTTTTCCTCTCTTCCCCTCTCTCTGGAAATAAATGAAATATTTTTTAAAATTCATATGGAGAAATATTTGCAATAAAGTTCATGGTAAACTAAGCTATTAATTAAATGTGAAGATATAATAAGAATATTGATGATCAAGGTTTAAAATAGCAGAAAGAAAGAAGAAGCTTCTGCTTCTACCCTTTGCAACAGCATGGATGGAAATGGAAAACATTATGTTGAGTGAAATAAACCAGGTGGTGAAAGACAAATCCCATATGATCTCACCTTTAACAGGAAGCTAAACAACAAAACAGACAAGCAAGCAAAATACAACCAAAGACACTGCAATACAGAACAGGGGGACAGTGACCAGAGGGGAGAATGGAGGGGATTTAAGGGGGAAAGGGGAAAGGATTTACAGGAACTAGTATAAAGGACACATGGACAACAACTAAGGGGGGTGGAAATGGGAGGGAAGTGGGGAGCACTGGGGGTGAGCTGGGATGGGAATAAAAGACAGAAAACTGTACTTGAACAGAAATTAAATAAAAAAAATAAAAAATATTTGTCACATTTTACTACTACTTCTCAGAAGCTTCTGGAAATGGCCAAGCTATGAACAACAACAACAAAGAGTAATGGAATGATGGAACTCCCAATCTGAGTATGAAGAGAAGCCCCATGTCCCATAACAGCAGCATCCCAATGCCCCTAGAGAACTGCTCAGGGAGTTCCAGGGAACAGGTAGGTTTCTGTCTGTCTCTGTGTCTCTCTCTCTCTCACACACACACACGCACAGAAATTAAATACCTAATCTTTTATATACTTCAGAATTCTGAGAAAACCTTTAGATTCAGTCAGAACTAATTTGAGGTCCAAATTTTTACAGAAAAAATATTGAGGAAATGTAAAAGAAGGCAATTATTAACTCTAAAAAGTAAGATTGCACATAACAACAACAAAAACTATTATCCCTGTATTTCTCCATTTAATGTTATAAAAATGCTATGTTTTCAGTATAATTAAACATATGTTCCTATTCTTTCATGTGCACATAACACCAGCTGTAAATAGTATTTATGTAGTTATAAACATGCAAACAATGGATATTGATGTAATCTAAATCACAATTTCCCCATATTTGGAGGATGAGGGTAGAGAAAGTGTATTTGTGCGTATGTGTTAGTGGGCTTTGGGGGAGGGCTTCTGTAATAACTAAATCTTCAATTTGCAAGCCAGGAGGGAAAAAATGTTGCAAACTTGAAGTTGAAGAAATTGCAATAAGCTCATATTACTTAAAAATGTGGAACTAAATATAAGCAGAAATAGGTAAAATAATTGACAGCCATCAGCTCTTGGTTAGTAGGAATTAAAGCCAGGCATGGATGTATAAGAGGACCACTGGTTTGGGCATAAAAACTGAAACATGCATGGAAAAAATCCTGTAAGGGTTAATTTCACAGACTGAAAACAAAATATAGATTTGAAGTACTGGCTCTAGTACTTACCAGTTATGTGATCTGATAACTTCAATGCTCAATGCCTTCATTTCCTCATTTGTTTAATTAGACACTAATAGTAGTACCTCATAAAGTGATCTTAAAGATTATACAGTCTAATATATAAAATCATTTAAATAATAAGGGGTGCACATTACTAGTACTGGCAGTACTGTGTAACTGTAAACTATTTACACAAATTACTTTGATAAAATTAATAAAAAAGCATAAATGTTGTATGATACATAGAAAGTGGTCAAGAAATAGAAACAATCATTATTTTTGAAAACTAAGAGTCAGTAAATAGTAATTAACAAAATAAAGCCAGCTTAAACTACTAAAGTATGTCTCTCATTATCTAATATCTAAACAAGAACATTTCATTAATTGTACTGAATCATGAAAGATTAATTTGAGTCCATTGTAATTATCCATACATGAACAAAGTACCTAAGATATGAATTAATGATAAGCTTCTAGAAAATTAGAATATCAGTCACTGAAAGGAACAAAGACAGCAAAATTGATTTGAAACTAATAATTAGTGATTTTCAGGGGCTAATTAATACTTATGCTAATATTTCTCCTGTTCTGAACATTGGTCATATATCTTTTCAATATGTTCACATAATAGCAGGTATACCTTCAATGTTTCAAATTAACATTAAGAAATTTATAGTTCTCAATCTATTTTAACATGTGTCTGTACTCTTTCATGTAAAGTAAATTCAAAATTTCAGCAAAACTGACACTGAACTTGTTTTTATCTCCTCAGTAGAAGTTAAGGACTTTTTTTCCGAAAATCAACTGTGTTTAAAGAGATGTTGTTAAATTGGAGAATAAAACAGGTAATGTTTCAATTGCAGTGGTTTTATTGATTGTGACATACATTAAACCATGTTTGTGCTTTTATTTATATTTTCAACATACATGTGACTAAAAACACCTCCAGATATTATTTTGGCAAACACAAAAGCTGTTCATCTGACAGATGATAGAGATAATAATATATGTAACTTAATAAGTTCTGATGGCATCCAAGTCATTTGTGTGTAACTAAACTGAGGCTTTAAAACATTTTAAATATGTGGATAAAAAAATGAATCTTTATTACTGTACCTGAAAAGGGAAGATTTCTGGAGAAGCTAGAAAACATATTGTAATCCATGCTTGAACAAGTTGAGGAGATATGGTGTCATGTAAATAAAATTCTGCTCTTCCCTTTATGTATTTATTTAATATGTATAAAGTGAAAATGAAGAGAACTATTGGTTAACACTGTATGGGATCATATACAGCCAGTAGACTGAACATAGAACAGTTTTTATTCTGAGTATCCAAAACTCAAGAAAGAATCACAATGAGACATGTTTATCTCTGAAAATCTATCCATATCTTAGAAATTTCAAATAACATACATTTCATAAAAATACTAAAACTAGTAACTTTGTGCATATTTATATATGTGTTGACTGAAGGAGACAACTTATACAAAGGACAAAGCTGACTTCATGTGTTGATACCAGACATATGACAACATTTAACGACAGATATAGTAAAAAAGTTTGAATACACAGAAACTATCTGATAAAGAACAATTATCTTCAGAGTTTTCTATTCATGCAACTGAAATTATATCTATTTGTAGTCATAATTGAAACTATTGGAGCTTAACAATATTTTAAATTTATATTAATGATTTACTTACAAAGCAGAAAATAAAAGAGAAAAATATAGGAAAGAATAATGTATGATTAGAAATTAAAAGAAGAAATACTGCTTTTCTTTTGAAATATTTGTCAGAAAAGAAAAACAATTATATTAGAGCAATATTTTAATATATTATTGATATTAAGTTACTGCCAACCCAAATTATATTGTTTTGAAGATGTTACTTCTATTTCTCAGGGCAACCACTAATTAGGAACAAAACAAGGATGTCTACTCTTGCCACTTTTATTCAACACAGTATTGGAAGTCCTAGCCACGGCAATTAGATAAGAAGTAGAAATAAAGGACATCCAAGGTGGAAAGAAAAACTAACACTCACCATGTGCACATAGCATAATATTATATATATAAATCTCTAAAGCTTTAATTAAAAACTATTAGAATTAACAAACAAATTCAGCAATGTTGTAGTATACAAAATCAATACACAAAAATATGTTGCATTTCTATGTACTAATAACATACTATTAGAAAGAGAAACTAAAAAATAGTGCATTTTATAAGTGCATCAGAAAGAAATATGTATGAATTAATTTAATGGAAGAGGTAAAAGACTTGTATACTAGAAACTAGAAAACATTAAGGAAAGAAGCACAAGTAAATGGAAAGATATTGCATGCACATCGATTGGAAAAATTAATCTTTTTAAATATTCATACTACTAAATATTCAATAAGCATGTATACACTCAGTGCAATCTCTATCAAACTTCCAATGGCCTTCTTTATAGAAATAGAGCAACTTTAAAATTTCTATGGAACCACAAAATATTCCAAATAGCCAAAGCAATCTGGATAAAGAAGAACAAAGCTGAAGCCATCACATTTTATGATTCAAAGTCTATTATAAAGCTGTAGTAAATAAATTGTACTGCATTGGCATAAGAGCAGACACATAAATAAAAGGAACAGAATCGAGATCCCACGTTAAACCCACATACATATGGTCAATTAATTTATTATGAATAAGCCAAGGAAATATAATTGAAAAAGGACATTTCCTTCAGTAAATAGTGTCAGGAAAAGTGGACAGCCACAACATAACAAATGAAATGGACCACTGTTTTTCAACATACATGAAGTTAACTCAAAATAGGTTAAAGATTGAAAATAAAACCTTGAAGCTATAAAACTTGCAGAAGAAAGCATAGGCAAGTAAACTCCTTGACATATGTCTTAGTGATGATTTTTGAATCTGACACTAACAGTAAAAAACACAAAAGCAAAAATAAGCAAATGGGATTAAATGGAGCTAAAAGCTTCTGTAAGCAAATATAACACCCAATGAAATAAAAAAGCAACATATTGAATGGGAGAAAATGAATACCTATGTTAATGCAAACATATGTACAGAAATATTTATGGCAACTTTATCTATGATTGATAAAAACTGAAAACAACTCAAATGTCTTTAAATGGATGAATGGTTTATACAAACCGTGTACAAACATACCATAGAATATTATGCCTAAATATAAAGGAATAAATTATTGGTACTTGGAGACACTTAGTTTAATCAAGATAAAATGGCCACAAAGTGGTGAAGTTCAGATCCAAATCTGATAGTCTGTCCCTACAGCTCACAAACCAACGTGTTATTATTCCTGTATTGGAAGACAGAAATTTTTATTTAATTGCTCATAGCTCCCTCACCTTTCACAATGTACATGAAAAACTCATAAAACACTAACTTTACATACTCATTTCCTCAAATGTAGATAAGATAAAATGACTATTTACTCTATTCACCTCTCTGAAAATAAGTCAGGAAGTGCTTTATAAACTCTAGAGGTCTGTTACAAAGACTTTTGCATAGATCAGAGACATCAACTGGTTTTTTTTTCCATTAAAAAATGTTATTCTGCTACTTCCTTGTCCTATTTTCAAATGTCACCTTTCTATCCAATGCAGTCTTTTTTTTGGGGGGGGGAGATGCTATGCTAATTTTGATTTATTTTTTAAAATAATTTTATTTAGTTATTTTTCAAGTACAGTTTTTTTGTCTATTTCTCCCATCCCAGCCCCCCCCACCCCCGTACTCCCCACCTCCCTCTCATTTCCACCCCCCTTAGTTCTCATCCCTGCGTCATATTTGTTCCTCCAAATCCCTCCCTTTTTTCCCCTTAAATTACCTTCCCTCTCCCCTCTGGTCACTGTCCCCTTGTTCTCTATTTCAGTGTCTTTGTTTTTATTCTGCTTGCTTGTTTGTTTTGTTGTTTAGCTTCCTGTTAAAGGTGAGATCATATGGTATTTGTCTTTTAGCACCTGGCCTATTTCACTCAGCATAATGCTTTCCAGTTCCATCCATGTTGTTGCAAAGGGTAGTAGCTCCTTCTTTTTCTCTGCTGCATAGAATTCCATTGTGTATATGTACCACAATTTTTTGATCCATTCATTTACTGATGGGCACCTAGGTTACTTCCAACTCTTGGCTGTTGTAAATTGTGCTGCTATGAACATTGTGGTGCATAGGTTCTTTGAAATTAATATTTTGGTGTTCTTAGGATATAATCCTAGCAGTGGAATTGCTGGGTCAAAAGGCAGGTCGATTTTTATTTTTCTGAGAAAATTCCATACTGTTTTCCATAATGGTTGTACCAGTCTGCAATCCCACCAACAGTGAACTAAGGTCCCCTTTTCCCCACAACCTCTCCAACATTTGTTGTTTGTTGCTTTGTTTATGATAGCCATCCTGACTGGTGTAAAGTGGTATCTCATTGTGGTTTTAATTTGCATTTCTCTGATAGCTAGAGGTATTGAGCATCTCTTCATGTGTCTCTGGATATTCTGTATGTTCTCCTTGGAGAAGTATCTGTTCAAATCCTTTTCCCATTTTTTAATTGGGTTGAATGTCTTCTTAGAGTGGAGTTGTGTAAGTTCTTTGTATATTTTGGAGATTAAACCTTTGTCTGAGGTATCATTGGCAAATATGTTTTCCCATACAGTTGGTTGTCTTTTTAATTTAATACTATTTTCTTTAGCCATGCAGAAGCATTTTATTTTGATGAGATCCCATTTGTTTATTTTTTCCTTTATATTCCTTGCTCTAGGGGACATATCAGTAAAAATGTTGCTGCGTGGAATATCTGAGATTTTCTTGCCAATATTCTCCTCTAGGACTTTAATGATGTCATGGCTTATGTTTAAGTCTTTTATCCACCTTGAATTTATTTTGGTGTATGGTGTAAATTTGTGCTCGTTTCTTTTTTTTTTCATGTAGCTGTCCATTTCTCCCAACACCATTTGTTGAAGAGGCTATCTTTACTCCATTTTATGTTACTGCCCCCTTTGTCGAATACTAATTGACTGTAGAGGGTTGGGTTGATTTCCGGGCTCTCTGTTCTGTTCCATTGGTCTATGTGCCTGTTTTTATGCCAGCACCAGGCTGCTTTGATTAAAGTGGTCTTGTAATACAGTTTGATATCAGGTATTGTGAACTCTCCTACTTTGTTCTTCTTTCTCAGAAGTGCGGCTGCTATTCAGGGTCGTTTATGGTTCCATATAAATTTTTGAAGTGTTTGTTCTATGTCTGTGAAATATGCCATTGGTACTTTAATAGGTATTGCACTGAATCTGTAAATTGCTTTGGGTAGTACAAACATTTGGTGATATTAATTCTTCCTGTCCATGAACAAAGTATATATTTCCATTTGTTTGTGTCTTCCGTGATTTCTTTCTTCAGGGCTGTGTAGTTTTCTGCATACAGATTTTTTACAGTCTTAACTCTATCAAATTTTTCAGGCTCTGCCTCACTTAATGGAAAAGCAAACATAATTTTTAGAGATATTTATGTAGCTGAATAATAGATACTGATTTATGGGACTGTAGTCTCTTCCCTTTAAAATGAGCAACCACAGTTTCCTGAAAAGCACTGATGGAAGGGCAAGAACCAGAGCAGGTAAGGGCCCAGACCTCTCCTGTGCACGTCTAACAAAGACAACCTGATTTCATCTGATCTACATAGCCATCCTCAGAAATACGGACTGAGCCCTGGCTGTATACAGACACTGCCCCATACAGGCTCAAGGAGCAGAATGATGAACACAAAGGCCCTTCCATCCCAGCTGCAGGGAGCTAAGAGTCCAGGGGTAAGTGCCACAATGCAAACACACTGCAAATATTAGAAGCACACAAGTTTCAGTAAGGGCTTTAAAGAAAAAGAGTGGAGTACACAAAAGAAGATGGACAAGGGGACATTTTTGCAGACAGGTTGGTCAGGGAGACCCTTGTAAGGAGGTAACATTTTAATGACACCTGAAGGGTGAGAAATAAGGAGTGAGGCCCTGGGGAACCAGGGAAGAGTCCGAGTGGTCTGAAAGTTTCATGTGCTCATGAGCTTCAGGCTTTTGAGAAACATGTGTAACAGCCTACGGCACAATATATGACCCATGTACTTGGTCTGTGGACGGTCCTTCAATTTTTCTGCACTCATCCCAAAGGGAGGGAAATATTTCTCTATTTTCTCCTACATTCAACTGAGAGTCATGACAGCAGGGTCAGTGGACAATGGCCTAAAGGCCAAGTCTAGTTCACCATCTCTTCTTGTTTGACCATAAGCTAAACATTTTTAAAAACATATTTTCAATCAATTTTTAAAAAATTGATCGATCAATCAATTTTTTTAATTCATGACACATGATAATCCTGTGAAATTCAAATTTTATTAGCAACTATTTTTTTTACAACTCAGCCATGCTCATTTGTTCAGGCATTACCTGTGGCTTTTTTCACGTGGTAAGATCAGATTTGTGTATTGGTGATAGACCTTATTATCCGCAAAGTTTAAAACGTTTAGTCTCTGGCCCTTTACAGGAAAAGCTCACTGACCCCTGTGTTGAAACATTTGTTTGTTGAGATTTCATCAATAACACTCTAATGTCACAAAGCTTCAACTCAGTTTCCTGCCGGTGGTGTTAATTGTAAGCTTTAAATTCATAGGAGTTGCTTTCTCTACCTTTACTTTTCAGGAATACTGTCTCATTAATACACCAGATAACCAGATAAGTTTATTTTGAAGGATTTTTCTTTGCTTAACCTTAATTCTTTAGTAGCTTCCTTCATTCTGATATATTGGAAAACTTATGAAATTATATTACAAAAAGTTAACATTAGGTGTCAGTATTTTACATACTATTTAGTAATTGTGTGTTAGTGAAATGTAATAGATTATTACAGACAGCATTCTCATTGGAAATTTTCAACTCTTTTTACAGTGTTTGCTCTACTATTTGTTTTTGTTTTTGTATTATTGAAATGTTCTTTATGTAATGCACATGTTTCAAACTCTTCATTTCTTTAGGTACCGCTTCTTTATTTTTGCCGTATATCTGTGAGTAGGAATGGATAAGTGGCATAGTACTAACAAGCATCTTTTTTAAGATATTTTTTAAAAGATTTTATTTATTTATCTTTAGCGGGGAAGGGAAGGAGAGAGAGAGAGAAATATCAGTGTATGGTTGTCTCTCGTGTGTCCCCTGCCAGGAACTGGCCTGCAACCCAGGCATGTGCCCTGACTGGGAATCGAACCGTGATACTCTAGCAAGCATCTTTTAAGTGACCTCCATAACGATCTGAGTGAGGTTTCAAAATAGAGACCATTTCATGGCAGGGCAGGTCTGTGGGAAGAATACCAGGGAGGCTTTACAGGGAAGAGGGGAGGGTAATGAGTTTGAGCTCCTACTTGTGATATGGAGAGATTTCCTTAACATTAACATTTATAACATTTTGAAGGCTATTCTTTAACATTCCAATTTATAGTAATTTGAATCTACATCAATTAGAAGGTTATGACTTAACCTTCTAATTGATAACATTGTAGGTACAGTGAGTAACCATCCAGTCTCTACAATGCAAGGTTGTTGTGATGATCAAATATACTAACACTTTTTCATAAGCCACTTGTTAAAGTGACCAACTCAATGGACAACCCACACATGTTAACACTTCCCTCTAACCATCACTGATGTTTCTTTTACCTTTAAATTATTTTGAATATTTGGTCAATATAACATATGAAAAAAACCTAGCATCTAGCATTTAAGAAACAGAAGTTTTCTTTTCTCTAATCATTCAATTGTGCCAAATCCTGTAATTCCATGCGTGTGTGTATGTGTGTGTCTTATGTATTTTCCCATGCCTTTTTTGTTCATTTCACTAAACTCAAAATAATTTTCAGAGAATCAGAGATTAAATAAGATCAAATCTATTTCATAACTCTAAATCTCTCTGAAAATGCCTTTAGTTTGTTTGTTTTAATGCTTCCATGTTTATCTCCAAATTATAAGCAAAAAGGATTCCTAAAGATATAAATATTGTATTGAATCCTTATAAATCAGTAAGAAAAAAGAAATAATAAAGGGCAAAGAATAGGAATAGACAATTCACATACAATACAATTTCAATGATCAATAAATATTTACTATAGTGCTCAACCCTAGTAATGAAAAAATAAAGTAAAAATAGAAACATTCAGTTTGGAAAACTATTTGCTAAAAATTATTACATTTTCTTTTCTTAAACAACTCTATTAGATTAAAGAGTTCTTGGTTGCTATTCCCATTGAGATGTGGAGTTAATTCTCTTACTCTTGAATATGAAACCACTTTAGTATGTACTTGGTCAATAGAATGTGGGCCTTTTGTAGCTGTCATAGGATCTTGCTGTTTATACTCACTCATCTCTTTATACTCATCTCATATCATTCTCTCAAAAGGAAGCTGATTACCATGGAAGAAATCCTGCTACCTTCAGAGTGTTGTGATTGAAAAAGCACACAGGCACTTTCATCAGCTGACCTGGTTGAACCCAGTCACCTAGCAATTCCGACTAAAGTGACATATGTGACTAAAGAAATCTTGCCTCCTCTAGACCAGTCCATTTGCTATCTGAATGCAATGGAATGTCCTCAGCTAATTTCACATAGGGTAGAAAAACCACTAAGTCATGCTGTCCTCAAAGTCTAGACCCAAATTTATGAGGTGAAGTGATTTTAACTTCTGAATCAGTAATTTTTTAAACAGCAAGAGATAAACAGAACCATTGAGACAATTCCCAATGATGTGGATGAACTCTATGAAAACTATATCAAAAATCTTAACTTGTGATATAACATGACTTAGTCATAGGGTAAAAAAGAATTTAGATATTATTCTACTAAGCAAAATATGTAACATCTTCACCTGTACTCCAGATACATCTTTGCTGCTTTAAAGTCCTATAAAATAACTAAGATTAGTGTAGGAAGGGGATTCAAACTTTCTAATTATAGGTATTCTTAACTCATTTGATGCCAAAACCTGATGTGGCACAAACTCATTCAATGTGAATTTACATAAGGCTATTTATTACTTTTATTATATTTAGCAAGATTATCCAAATATTATTTATAAAGGTAGGAAAGTGGGATTAACTTAAATTCACAACTGTAAGGGGCTGGTTAATTATGCTATTATTAAAAATTTTGTTTTAGAACTTTTAAATGTTTTTAAATACACTATATCCATCATTGTAAATAAAGAAGATATAATTCCTAACCTCCAAAAATCAAGAACTATAAATATATACAAAAGCATTAAATCTAAGTGATGTTGAACTAAGTAGAGGTACATGTAGCAGATTTATGAAAGTGAAGAGACAGGAGAGTTTTGATATCAACTAACAGGATAAATGAAGATTTGCTCTTTAGTGTCTGAAAATCCTAGGAAGTCCAAACTTAATGACGTTCTTTAAGGAAAGGAGTGAGTCCGTGAAGAATCGGTGTCATTTAAGGGCAGAGGCATTGTTGCATATAGAAGCTTTCACCTTCAAAAAGTCAACTAAACATGATCAATCAAAAAAGATTAAAAATAATGAAACCCTAAATTGTGTGGGTGACTGATGACTCTCCCTGTTTTACTGAGCAAGCTGAAGACCCACGGGGAATGTGACAACGTTGGCCCCAATTCCTCCCGACTTCCCAGACACCACTCAGCACACAGGTATGTCCCACATGGGATGGGACTCTTGTGTTTAAAGATGAAGTCTGTTTTTTAATAACATTGTTTTCTAAAATACAAGCTAGATACTTTATCTGGGTTGTAACCAAAGCACCCTGTTTTCCATAATGGAGGAAAAACTACTCACACTGGACTTAAAAATATAAATCTCCAACATGTTATCTCCTTTGTAGATTTGGGGTTTGCTTAGGGATCACTGGGGCCCTTAAATTCTACATCTCCACATTTTACAGATGTAGAAATTCAGGACCAAACTCTAGAACCCTTAAATTCTCACTCTTTGTATGATACTTTTCCCTCCATCTTCTACACTCTCTATCTGTGGAGATTTTCCAGTTCTCAATTGCTACACATTCCTTTCCAAGGGCGAAAATGAGGATTACTGGTTATTATGTTATCTGCTTAAGTGTCCTCATAAACCTGCTTTTCTCCTTTCAGAAAACAGAATAATACCTTAGAAGATTCTCTGACTTACATCACAACACACTTATTTCAAATATGGGATATTTAGCATGGAAAGAAGGATGCATCTATTGATTCATAGAGAGTACATGAGCAACCCTTTTCATATGCTAACTTCCACCCCAGGCAGGAAGGGGCGATCCCACTCATGGGACTACTTGCTTTCTTCTCTCCCCACACCTGTTTCCATGGCTCTCACACTATCTCTAGGGGAAGAAAACAATAATTTAAGCATTATGTCACCCAAGTTATTTCATTCTAACTTAGTCTCAGCCCTGCAACTTAAGGATCAGGGGAATTATTTTCTGAGTACCAGCATAGACTTGAACCTAAGTTCTCTAAGTAAAAAAGCCCCTCAGCCCTGAGAAATACATTGGTCAGCTGTTGCTGTTGTTTTTTTTCCTGTTCACCCAGCAAGCGTTGAAACAAATGGATAGGCACCAGGGGAAATGGAGTAATCTCACTCCACCCGCAAACTTTCACCCAATGTATCACAAAAATTATTAATTAAAATTAAGCAATATTAACAGTACAAACCATGCCTTCTCCCATAACCAACATTCTCACAGAAACAATTTGTCTACTTTAACTGGGATATTATTTCCTGTTAAGTAGCTACATACTTTTTACATTTCATGATTAACAAAATTAACTAGCTAAAGCATCAGTCCTTATCACATATTTTAATAATCTCCCAGCATCAGAATGTGGAGTCTTCTCAGATCTTTGATAAGCTGCTAGTCTAGGAGAAAAAAACAATTAATGGCAATCACTGTTCTCCAGCTTCTGGGATGCTGCTTACATGGGAACTGACTTCTGTGCCTTCCCCAAAACATTACTCATTCCTCCAAGATGCCACCAGTTCCTGTCACTGTAGTTCACTGTTGTGGACTGCTCTGCCTGGTTTTAGGAATTGTAACTCACCCCCCTGTGGATAAGGATGAGTGAGTCTCCCCTAGAATGTGAGCCTCAGGAGACAAGGCTTGTCTCTGGTAGCAGATGCTGCCTCAGTTTCCTCCCTGCCCACAAAGCTCGGTTGGAAGTCAGAGACGGGTAAGACACCTCAGAGGAGGGGAAACCTGGGCCGGACAGGATCTCTTGGGAGGCCATCATGGAAGGACTCAGGGGGCTGCAACAAAGAGCAATCGACTCTTCCCTCCTGGCTTTGACATAGCCCAAGTCCCCATGTCCTCCGGGAGAAGCACTTCCTGGCTCAAATCCCCTTAAGGCTGAATACCTGATGGGGAGGGGTGTAGCTCCTTGCCTTGCTAGAGTGTCTCCTGGGGAAAAATCTGGCACCACAAAGACTTGCTGATTAACCTGTGAAATCTGCTAAGAGTGCTTTCATTCATATGATAAGGGTCCTAGAGGAAATGAGTATGTCTCCCAAAGTTTCTGCAACTCTCTTCCTGACAGACACTAACTCAGACTAAGCCCTCAGATTTCTTTGACATGTATCTACTGTTTGATCCTTGCCTCCCTGTATTCCTGTGTATTACAACCCAATAAAAGCCCTTAGAGGAAGGGGCTCAAGGCCTTTTCCCCCTGAGAAAGTGGCCACTGCTCAAGGCCTTTTTCCTCTGGGAAAATGGCCACTTCTCCTCCCCAGGCAGATCACATCATGTTTCAGTCATGTTTACTTTCATCCACGGCACACGGGGGGACTTGCAAGGAAAGTTGCCCCCACGGTTTACTACCTCCTCAATGAGCCTTGGTTTTCTTCAAGTTCTTCCGTATATCAATGTATTAGTTTTCTGTTGCTGCTGTAACAGATTACTATATCTTTAGTAGCTTAAACAGCACACATTTGTTATATTACAGTTTACAGATTACAAGTCCAACACACATCTCCCTGGGCTAACACCAATGTGTTAGGGGGACTGTGCTCATTTCTTGGGAATTTGTTTCCTTGCCTCTTCCAATTTCTGAAGGCTGCTCACCTTCTTTGGTTCATGGTAACTTCTTCCATCTTCACAGCCAGAATCTTCTGTTTATTGCTCCAGGGTTTCTGGCCATAGCCAGGAAATGTTCTCAGCTTTTAAAGAGCCATGTGTTTGGGTGCACTTGAATAATGCAGGTTAATTTTCCCATTTCAAAGTCTTTAACCTTAGTCACATCTGCAAGACCCTTTTCATCCTGTAAAGGAACATACAGAGAGTTTCTGGGGAGTAAGGTGGGGCCATTAGACTGTCCCTGACCAATCCCTCTGTCTTTTCTTACTTTACTTTTCTGTCTTGTAGAATTTCTAACCCCTTTTTACCATGAAACACTTCGTCTTCATTTTCTACTACCTGTCAGTAACCAAAAGCAGATTGATTCCTTGGATGATAGTCTTCCACCTCATTCTTCCATGTTCTTTTTAAAGTTCATAGTTGCAGGAAGCAGCCTCAAAGAAAAATTTGTGTGCAGGGGGTTTATTTGGAGGTGCGCTTGAGATCCACCTGTGTCAGTGGGGTGGGGGTGGGAGGACATGATGAGTGAAGTAGGACTGTGCTCTTGGGAGAAGATAAGTTAATATAGTTACAACATAGTTCTCAGCCATCCCATAGGGAGTTTGGCCAAAATGGTCCTTCAGAATTGCATTCCCAATGAATTCCTTTATACGGAGCTCCAACATCCTCTCTATAGATGCAAGAAGCTATGGAGCACAGAGCTAGGAGGGCCAATAATGAACTATGGATAAGTACAGAAATTTAATGAGAGGGAATAAACCCCTTAACTCCTTTGGGAGTCAATCCCAAAACTTCCAGTAATAAGTCTTTTGAAAAATGAGTGTTTTACAGGTAAAGGATTAAGAAACAGGCATTTAAAGTGAGAGAACAAAAATAAAAGACTGACTTCTGAGAACAAGATCCAAGAAGTGGGATCAAATCAGTGTGGGATAGCCTAGTCTTTCCTACACTGATCCCTTGTCCTTGTTAACAGTGGACACAGGTTTATATGAGATGTCAGGCTTAGCTATCAGAAAAAGAACAGAGGTATTGACCTTATTCCTGCTACCTTTCACATTGAT